ATTCCAAATATTCCCCTGAAGTTGTATTGCTTAATCCATCACTACTAATCCGTGTTACTGGATTCCTATTATTCTGTTGATTAAGTGGCAGTGGTTGTGGTGCCTTAGTAAAGCAGCAGTGTGGTGGCACGCAGCTGTAGGTTTCTATACGGAACCTCATTTACTAATTGGTAGCTGCATATTCAACCTGAAGACTCAAGCATTCTCGAACACGTTTTCTCTACAGCCATTGTAGCAAGCAGTGTATCACGTGGCCTCAAAGAAGTAACTGTCGTCGCATGCTGTTAGTCTTCTCAACGAGGTTAATACGCCTCGGGTACCTTCAACCTGTTAAGCCCACTGGTCGAAACGGTTTAGCAGAATGTGACCATTGATGCATGTCCGATTCGTAGGATTTGGTTAACCAACAAGATGGAGTATGCTCATAAAAACCAGACGGTCTACCAAATGAAAGGTGATTAGTCCTATGGATACCCCAAGCACCTTGTACCCTTTCCACATTTCGATTCAAGTTAGATGGGTGACCAAATATGAAGACATCTGAGGTATAAGTGCAAGGGTGCATATAGTGGTATTTACTTCTAAAAGAGATTCCGAGCAGTACACTTGTATCCACTTGATCTACAATAGAGTCCCGGATTTCATCCAATCAGATAACAAACTCACGAATGCTGACCATGTGAAGCATATTCAGAACATAACCCTTATCATTGTTCACAGACTTTCATCGGACATGTAAACGATAAACCAGAAAGGATTTAGTGATTGATTACATAATCATGCGTGTGAAGCATTCGAGGGTGTTTTTTCATAAAATCGAGGGTTTTACGCCTGTTTCTGGGGGACGAGTTGATTCGGCATGCTTATTCACTACATGAGCACTGTGTTTTATCCGGTGGAATAAACCAGTCTCATTTGAAGGCTGTTATTGATTGCAAGAGGTGTGTTGATAACTTGAAACATTGCCCTTCTGTTATCTTGTGAAGTTAAAACACATCAGGTCGAAACTTTGCATCATAGAAACTCTCATTACTAAGTTTGAAAACGATAATGATTTCCAAATCTCTTGTTCATTCTACGATATTATAATTGTGGCATGAAATGCACGATTTTGCTAAAAATTATAAAAACAGCAAAATGTGCGTTAGCTCCATCATTCCTGTATTCAAGACCATGCCTCAGTGATTCAAATGACTGGAAAATATGCAAATAGTCGGTAATTCTTTTCAATCAGGTAGCTATTCGAATTTATCATCCAATTAATTCCTTTTCTCATTTGGCCACATTTATCCACAACCTGTCCCTATCAGTTGCTCCGCAAGTCATTCCCATCCCTCGTTGGGCCAGAGCTGCACCGGGGACAGGCTATCCACCAATCGCGGACACGGCCGGGATGAATGGCACCTCGGAGGGAAATCACGTGACGAAATCCCTACAAGCTCGTCTCACCTGCGTGATTGCTGCGGAGCCTATACCGACGGTGGAATGGGTACGCGAACCGGCCAATTTGACACTGGTCGAAGGTGGTCAGTTCCGTTCGCAGATCAAAGCAGTTCGACCGGGACTGTATCACGCAGTGCTATATTTGAACAAACCACGTGATGTGGACATGGGCAAATATTATTGCAAGGTATGTGGATAAGCAGAGTTGAGATAAGAACACGTGACTTGTATACATATTAAATAGTGCATCAAACATCCTATTGGATGGCGTCTTTTAAATTTGCATTAATTCAGGATGCGCGGATTTAAATGGGAGACTTCACATCGTATGTTTTTTCGAATAGTTTCATCAGGGGAAATCTGACGTTTTGAAGTATAAATCTAGCTAGATATTACTGTTTTCTCATAGGATATGGGCTTGCTTGTCTGGCTTTTAGGAGTTGGTGGTATTCAACCACGGAAAATGAACTGCCCTCGGCCGCTGAGCAGAGGGCGCATAGCTCCTGTATTCTAATCCGGTAATAACCATCATACGCTGTAACCCACAGTTTTGCCAACTTCGATAGGTTATTGCATGCATTCTTCAAACAGATCTGAGGGTCACGTGCGCTCAAATTTAATAATATTTCATGAAAACGAAGAGACGTCTTCAGCCTTCAGTAAATGGGCACAAAATCATACCAGTTTCGTTTAAGACGGTCTGATCTCGCAAACAGTGTCATTTTGATAGACAAACCAGTTCCAAGCCAATATTTTCGACTGAAATGTGGCGAAACCCAAACGACAAATGAAATGAGACAACACAGTCGGCTTTGGTGTCACAATAGTAACTATACCCCACAATCATGCAAAGTCTATAAAGGAGCTCACATGTTAACATGTGATCGAGATTTAGAGTTGTATTACGCCGTATCCACTTGTCAGACAAACTACTAAAATGCCTTTAAACAACCCCGCGTAGTTATTTGATCTACTCGCTCGAAATTGTCGGAGATGATGTACTTGTATGAAACTTATCCGGATATAGTCCATGACTTGCGGGTTAAGAATCGCTATCACCAGTTTAGCCAGGCTCGCACCTTTAACTAGCTTCAAATGAACACTGTATTATTTGGGGCCCATTCACCTCTAACATTGAACAATAAATACCTGAGCTTAGATGTGAATCTTTTCCTTGTTGAGCAGATTTTTTTTTAATATCCTACGATCTACGTTTTTTACATTCCTTTAAGAAGCGAATGAAATCATCGTCACGTGGTCGCATCCGTGAATGCGTGAATCCGATCCCCAACTCAAACAGTCACATCGGTGTCATTCCGGTATTCCGTTTTGCTCATAATCAATAGAAAAACCATCTTTTAAACGGATGTTTTTGCAATTCAGAAACGTAATAGGTCGCTCGCATGTACCTGAAAGATCCATTAGATGTGAACACATGGAATTCTGATGAATCCTTTGATGGGCAGAACGATCGAATGCAGAGAGAGAGAGAGAGGGAGCAACTGAGTCAGTGAGTGACTAAACTAAGCGGATTCAAATTGGGCAGGAAGTGAAAGGAATTTATCCGGAGCGGACTAAAATGAACGAAGTGAATGAACTCGTAATGTGCATGAAAGAAAACTGTCTCGTAATGTCCATTTCACATCGTTGCTTGTATGGATGTTTGTTTATTTGTCACTTTGTTTCTAAATGGCGTGTGTGTGATTGCGTGTGTTGGTGCGCACGTATGTCCATTAATTGCACCACTTAAATCCTGTTTGTTGAGACAGACGCGGTATGCACAATTCAGCGAACCTGCAGGTGCACGAGCTTTTGGTTGGGAGAGAAAGCTGGCGGTGACGACAGCGACGGCGACGGTGGTGGTAGTGGTGGTGGGGGTGATCGGGTGGTGCTGAACTATTCAATTTCACTCTGAGCCCGATTTCACCGTTCACGCAGTCCAGTCGAGCCGTTTCGGAATGAGCTTTGCGTGTCACATACCGAAACAGGCATGTAGATTACGCCGCTCCTCCCAACCGCGTCTCACTCCGCACCCACCTGGGCTCACACACACACATACAAACACACACACACACACACGGTCACA